AGAACTCAAACTCTCTCTCTTTGCAGATGACATGATACTTTATGTGGAAAACCCCAAAGACTCCACCCCCAAATTACTAGAACTCATACAGCAATGCAGTAATGTGGCAGGATACAAAATCAATGCACAGAAATCAGTTGCTTTCTTCTACACCAAAACACAACTGTAGAAAGAGAAATTAGAGAAATGATTCCATTTACCACAGTACCAAAAACCATAACATACCTCAGAATAAACCTATCCAAGGAGGGAAAGGATCTATACCCTAGGAACTACAGAACACTCATGAAAGAAATTGAAGAAGACACAAGAAGAAGGAAAAATATTCCATGCTCATAGATCGGAAGAATAAACATTGTTAAAATGTCTATGCTACCCAGAGCAATCTATACCTTCAAAGCCATCCCGATCAAAATTCCAATGATAAGGAAGACTTGATGCAGGTTTCCTGCTCTCCTCTGAATACATAAATTTATAGCTGAGTTTTTAAAGACAAGGAGTATACTGAAGGTTGAAATATGGGAAAAGGGTCGAGGAGATATCCTTTGAAAAGAAGAGTCTGTAGTGCTCAAGAAGGGACGGTGTCTCCTTGCAAGTTCGATAAATGGGCGGGAGAAAATGTGACCCTGTATCTCTGCAGAGGTCTGTGACATCAACAGGTGCTCTGGGACCATCAGGAGGCACTCACATCAACCAGCGGAACTCAGGAATCATGGAGCTCATGATCCAGGACAAAAGGTTGGTTGAGGGCTGGTCCTCACTCAAGGGTTTTCAGCTCCATGCTCTGCAAACTGCTTCCTGACACGAACACTGTAAACAGTTTGGAAAAACTGTCAAAACACAGTTGTGTCTTCCTTTCCTTGAATCAGTAATCATAATGTAAATACTCAAATTTGTGATGTACCAGGCTATGGAAAAATTTAACTATAGGATCATGTCAATAGCTGTGGGATTAGAAGTAGAATGATCTCCATTTCACAAGTGAGAACATTTCCCAAAATAACAGCATCCATTCTGATCTCAGATGTTGAGAGTTTCATGTCTGCTAATGATTCCACCATTTTATTTTTATTGAGGCTTTCCATGGATATGTACAGAGACATCATGTGTAAATGCCCCTTGGGTTGCTGAAAACGTGCAGTGTCTCCATCAACTCTGTGACTCTCTCTAGGATTCTTAGTGTCTCCAAGTTTTTTAGAAACTTGGTGGTCTCCACCCTTCACTCAGTTTGGTAATCTGGAAACTCAGGAAGCCTGCAAACTTCACTACTTATGACTAACAGTGATCTGGAGGTATTTCAGGGGGGAAGGCATGTCCCATGGTGGAGAGCACAGGGCCAAACATGGGTTCACGCTTACCTGATGGGTGCTCTTGGATGCTCAGAGAGCCCTTCTGTGCTGCAATGTATACCTATCCACCTATAAAATGGTGATAAATGGGTACATATATCACATGTGATTTACAGAGAACAAGACACATGGAGTATGTGAGTGGATATGAGTCAGAGAAAGAGCGTATATGTGACAGTTTCCTGACCAGGATGTCTTGTGTTTGAAGATGTCCAGTGGGAGGTGCAGCTGGTAGAGTCTGGGGGAGACCTGGTGAAGCCTGGTGGTGGGGTCCCTGATATTCTCCTTTGCAGATTCTTGATTCACCTTCAGAAGGTACTACATGAGCTGGGCCCACTAGGCTCCAGTCAGTAGGCTGCAGTGGGTCGCAAGTATTGATGATGTTGGAAGTAGCACAAGCTATTTAGACTCTGTGAAGGGCTGATCCACCATCTCCAGAGACAATGGCAGGAACGTGCTGTATCTGCAGATGAACAGCCTGAGAGCAAAGGATAAGGCTGTATAATACTGTGAAAGTGACAGTGTGAGGGGACATCAGTGTGAGCTCAGACACAAACCACACTGTAGACCAGAATCTGAGGCAACAGTGGGGGCACACTATTCACTAATTCTGTCTTTAAAAGCCACGAGCAGATGAAGGTGGAGGAAAGGGGCAGGTGTCTTGTCAGATTCTGGGGTTTCCTCTCCATAGAGCAGTTTCCCCAGGAAACCTCTCTCCACACGTGATTCTGTGCTTACCTATTTACTCTCTGGTGTAAAAAAAATAAGAAATCAACTGTACTAACAAGTACAAAAGACAGTGTCACTTGCACTTGCTTGTTTCTGGACCTAAACATCAATGGATTACAAATATCTCCATGCATATTATGTGAATATATTCAGGAGTCCCAGCTACACTCATTGTGCATCACAGGATGACTCAGCTCAATGTGCTAACTTGCTAGAAGCAGCATAAAGTGCATGCTGGACATGGGGCTAAAGGGGCATCAAAAATCCAAAGAACATGAATAAAGACCATGGAGAGGGTCACTGTCTGGAACCAAGGTCACTGCCTCAATATTACTGACAGCATGTAAAAGCAGAGAGAAACCCACAAGCACGTTGTGTGAATGTGGACGCTGATGGTATCTCTCTCTCTCTCTCTCTCTCTCTCTCTCGATCTCTCTCTCTCTCACACACACACACACACACATGAGAGAGAGTATAAAAATATATCACTTTCACTCATCAGAGGGTCATGAGTTAAGTCAATCTCCTACTCTCATCAAAGGAGGGAGAACACAGGGGTTCTTACATTTCCCATGGGTGGGGTGTGAGAAGAGGGAGGGATGAAGATTAAGGAGCTAACAGGCAATAATCAAAGGATAGGTTGTGATGACTAATTCACTAAAGAATATGAAAACTTGGAGAACAAAAAAGACAAATGGCCATTCTAAGGAGACAATGGTCTGAATCCATGGAAAATGAGAAAAATGTCACGGGAAAAGCACAAATTTTAAGATGATAATACAAGTGGACTGAAGGCTTAACCAGTGTCTAAGAAGGAAGCTGTCCACTCCCCAAGGTCACCAGCTGAAGGTTCTGAAGGTCTTGTGTTCACTGTGTCTTTGCAAAGACCAGCAGATTCTGCTGGATTTATGAGAACCTTCAGGTTGAGATGCCGGTTGGGAGAAGCCTTCCACCTGCAGTGAGTCACTAATTGATCCTTCGGTTGCTGATAGCTTCTCAGTGTGTAAGACTTGTACCATCACAGGTTGAAACTTAAGGAGAATGTGATGGAAGGAGGCGGTGGGACCCGAGGGAAGCACTTAGGTCAGGAGGGTGCAGCCTCATGACAGGATTACTGCCCTTATACAGCAGGACTGGGAAAGCTCCCGGCCCCTGACCCATGTGAGGTACCGGGGAAAGGACACACTAGGATGTGGGGCTCTCCAAACACCAAAACCTTCTGCACCTTGACCTAGGACTTCCAGAATCCAGAACTGTGAGGAATGGGTGTCTGTTATATAAAACCACCCACTCCATGTACATTGTTACAGCAGCTGGAAGAGACTGAGACATTAGTGACACACGAACCCAAGCACTGATGCTCTGGCATTTCCCTGCTGCATTTGTTGGGAAAACTACCTGGTAAGTTCCTTCAGTGAGGTTCCAGGGTGGATTTCTCACATGTCCCTCCCACAGATAGGACTAACCAGTACTCTCCTAGGACTCTGTGGAAGGACACAGTGGACACAGAGGGAGGACTTTTAAACAAAGGAGTCAGGGTTTCTGAGGCTGAGGGCCTTTATTTTAAGGATGCTGTTTATTCATCCTTTCCAGAAGACGTGAATGTGATCACCCTGTGGGTTTTGAGTCTGATCATCACCTTACAGAGTTGTGTTCTACTGATTGCCACGAGGTTTGCGCCTGTCCCTGGTTGTATTGTTGGTAACCCGTGTCCCATTTGAACCCCATCTGCATCTGTGACTCTTACTGTGGTCGTGCGGGTAGGTTCCGTGTGATGTGTTCATTACTGGGAACACTCAAAGGCACTTCCTTTTGCCTGCAACCCTTTTTCTAATGGTTCCCCGCACTACCCACGGAACATGTCCTAGTGTCTTGCCAGAGTTGTCATTGGTAATGTCACAACATCACAGACTCCTGGGAGCCCCACATGCATGTTGCTTGTTTCCTGGGGATGAGCACTGCCTAGGAACCCACCTGCACCCTCTATAACATAAGCACATTGTTATACTTTATTCCCTGTGAGCAATGATGTCAGCTGGTCTCTGTCCAGGTCCACACACACACACACACACACTGTCAAGTACAGTCATCAAAGCTATTTGGGATAATCACAGAGATGACTCTGACAGAACGCAGAGATAGTGAAATATTAGGGACTGGAAAATACAACTGCATGAACCTGATTCTCTGTATTTCAGGTAAGCTCGAGAATAAGCACAATCATCCCTCCCATTTCGGGAGGGGCTCCACATTCTTAACGAGCTTGCCCACTCTGTTCTGCAGGTAGTTCGGAGTTCAGGGATGTTGTAAGTCCTGTGGGAGGAGCACAGAACAGATACCGGGGTCACCCTTACCCAATGGGTGTTCTTGGACACTCACAAATCCTCTAAAATTCCGGGTATATGTTCACATATCTTAATGGTGTCACATGAAATCTACACCTAAAGATTTCTGTGCATGTGTAAAAAAAGGGTAGCCCGTGGAGGCTAAGATTGTGATCTGGAAAATCATATAATCAAAAATATATTTTCCCAAATTCTTTCAATAGCAACAACTCAAAGGCAGTCACATCTGCTCTGGTCACTGCCCTCTCTGTCAGCATAGATCACAAGTTGGCTATTTAGTCAGAGGACATGCAAATATGGCCCTCCCTCTGCTGATTAAAACTGCCCAACCCTAACCCTGCAGCTGGGAGAGGAGCCCCAGGCTTGGGATTCCCAGGTGTTCCCGTTCATAATCAGGACAGAACACAGACAACTCACCATGGAGTTTGTGTTTCACTGGGTTTTCTTTGTTGCAATTTTAAAAGGTAATTTATGGAGAACAAGAGACATGAGTCTCTTGAGTATGTGAGTGGATATGAGTGAGAGAAACAGTGGGTGTGTGTGACAGTTTCCTGACCAGGATGTCTTGTGTCTGCAGGTGTCCAGTGTGAGGTGCAGCTGGTGGAGTCTGGGGGAGACCTGGTGAAGCCTGGAGGGTCCCTGAGACTCTCCTGTACAGCCTCTGGATTCACCTTCAGTAGCTATAGCATGAGCTGGGTCCGCCAGGCTCCAGGGAAGGGGCTGCAGTGGGTCGCATGGATTAAGTATGATGGAAGTAGCACAAACTACGCAGACTCTGTGAAGGGCCGATTCACCATCTCCAGAGACAACGGCAAGAACACGCTGTATCTGCAGATGAACAGCCTGAGAGCCGAGGACACGGCCGTGTATTACTGTGCCAGTGACACAGTGAGGGGACCTCAGTGTGAGTCCAGACACAAACCTCACTGTAGAAGGGGATCTGGACCACCAGGGGGTGCACACTATACATAATTTTGTCTTTAAGGCCCAGGAGCAGATGAGGCTGGAGGATATGGCAGGTTTCCTCCCAGGGTCTGGGGCTTCCTCTCTAATTATAGCCGTTTCCCCCAGGGAGCCCCTCTGCACACATAGTTCTGTGCTACCTATTCATTCTCTGACATAAATAAAAAGTTGAAGAACTGCTATACCTGCAAGCGCAGAAGTCAGTGTCACTTGCACTTGCTTGTTCCTGGACCTAAATATGAATGAATTACAAATATCTCCATGCAAATCCCCTGAATACTGTCAAGAGTCCCAGCTGCACTCACTGTGTATCATAGGAGAATCCAGCTCAGTGTGCAAGCTTGCAAGAA